ATATAAGGTAAATCATGGGCAAAATTTAATGAATATTTATTTACGCAAATGCATATGATGGGCGGGTAAATCTCTATATATTACTTATATATACTATTTAAAAAGAATGTAAGGTTTCCGTTTCACCTTTCTTTCCACCGCCCATTCGTCCAACACTCCCCTGTATCAATCACCATATTTACTTACCTTCTGGATCAATTCTATTTTAATTTACTTACCAAACTTCCGATCAAAATATAAGGTAAATCACGGACATAATTTGATGAACATTTATTCACACAATCGCATACTATGGGCAAGTAAATCACTTCTTACCAAAATATAAGGTAAATCACGGGCAAAATTTAATAAATATTTATTTACATAATCACATATTATGGTCAGGTAAATCTCAAGCTAACGTAATAGAATATTTATATCCTGTTGCATCACGGTCATTGTTCTAGTGCTGGTTAAATAAGAAGCAGCAACATTGATCTAAAAAAAAGCTAGATGCCTTGTTTTGAGGGCATGTACAATGGTAGCATATAGATACATATGCCCCATAACAAAAAGTAATTTAAGGCACCTATATTAATTTCTTCTCTCCAGTGCAAGCTGTCGCTAGTGGGCCTCATTAAGAAATAGAAAATAAAGATTCTAGTACACATGCATCTCTATTTTCCACTCAACCTTTTCGGCTTTTGTCACCGGACCACACTTTTTCTCTTCAAACACCCGCCTTCTGAAGAGGATCTCGTTTCCCTATCCAGATCTACTTTACGTCATATCCGATCCTACATGACATGCGAGACATTACCTTGAGACTATGCATTGTATATGCCGTGAGAAGGCGAGGGAGGCAGTTGGGGGTAATTCAGTCCGCGACGTTAACGGGGTTCGTGGACGGCGGAACGGACCGGACGGGGTGCGGGTGCGCATAAAGCCCGGCAAAATTCCCCGACGCGAGGCCACAAATCGCTCCCGGCCCCCTCCTTCCTCCTCTCCCCCACCCGTACGGTCAAACAAGAGACCCCCCGCCCCCCTCTCTCCTCCACCTCCATCTCCAGCGCTCGCCGCGAGAAGCCGAGAAGGAAGAGCCTGAGAAGGTAGCATGGCGGACCAACTCACCGACGACCAGATCGCCGAGTTCAAGGAAGCCTTCAGCCTATTCGACAAGGACGGCGACGGTAAGTGATTTCTGTCCCTCCCTGTTTTTCTTCTTCTTCTTCCAACGCTGTGATTGTTGTGATCCGTCTCGGTCTGGATAGACGAAGAAACACGAACATCAATTCATCATCGATGGATGTGTACTCTCTGTCTTTGATCTAGCATAGAATTGTGACATCTTATGTGATACACTAGATGACTAGAGGCTGAAAATTTACGGCCAGGCGTCCATTAGCCGGAATGCCAGATTAGATGCACATATTGTTTCACTCACTCCATGCCACCGCCCTGCCGGGAGGAAATCCCTGTGCTTCTTCTGTAGTATGTACTGCCGTATAGTGCACGGCTGCGGGTCACTATCTCGCGTAGTAACTGCTGTGGAAATTATGTCGTCAAATCAATGTGATTGGGTCATGTCAGATTTGACCTCGTCTTGGATCCAGATGCGGCGAAGTCAGGGCCGCCCAATGTCAGACGCTTAGGCCTGACTTATGTAGAACGGCTGAATCGAAGCTTATAGGTTGAACTTGCCATGGCAGGGGCACTGGTAAAAAGGTGCCTGGCCTGGAGGTTGCCTGAAAGCTGCCTGTATCTTGTTTGGTTGCTGCCCTGGCGATTTCTCAGTTAGCCTGGCCTGGACGGATGACATTGGGTGATTAGCCTGGCCAACATGCAGGCACACGATTAGCCTGATCCAGGCGACCTGGAACGAACGCCTGGACACAAAAATCGAGGAGCCTGGCGAGTAAAAACAAGAGGCCGGTGGTAGTTAAAGAATTGAGGACCTGACACATAGTAGTTTAATAATCGTTCAGTCCCAGGAACGAACCAAACGCCTTTTGGCTTAGGCAGCCTGGCCAGGCAAAACTCGATCGCTTCTCAGGCACAAGTCAGGCACCTATTTTCCCCAGGCAGAGAGCCCAGGTCGTGAACCAAACACGCGGGTCTGCTGGTCTGCTACCATCTCTGGATCGTATCTGCAGATCTGCTGGAAATTCTTAGGGGGCTGAAACCCAGATCCAGTGATATGATAATACAAATTTCAGAGAACTGAGCATAGCTTAGTTGGCAAGGCGCGGGAGTTCGCAGCCAGCCCACCAGGTTCAAGTCTTGGCTAGAGCATTTGGTGGTTGGTCTTGTTTTTTATAATACAAATTTCAGCATCAGGGAGAATCGTTTGGTGTCAGATGGAGTTGATAAAGTGGTAGTAATTGATTTCGGACCTGCCCAGACTTTTAATTTGGGCCTTCAGTGCATATGTAGTAGTACTTGAATCATTTGTTGTAACAGAGTGGTTTCATTTCTGACTGTACTACAGTAATTGATGAGTAACTTTTGTTTTGGGACCATAGAGGTGAATAGTGTAAGTACTAGTACAGGGACGTTGCAGGTTTGATCCATTGTATATGGTGGTTGCTTCATGCGTGCATGTCTGATTAGCTTTTGTGCGTGTTTAGCTCACTCTGAATATGAAAATGTGATTACCGACTCAGTCAGAAACATACCTGAAATTGCCCTTGTGTGCTGGACATGGACAGGTTGCATCACAACCAAGGAGCTGGGAACAGTTATGCGCTCGCTGGGGCAGAACCCAACCGAGGCAGAGCTCCAGGACATGATCAACGAGGTCGATGCCGATGGCAACGGCACCATCGACTTCCCGGAGTTCCTCAACCTGATGGCTCGCAAGATGAAGGACACCGACTCGGAGGAAGAGCTCAAGGAGGCCTTCCGGGTGTTCGACAAGGACCAGAACGGTTTCATCTCGGCCGCGGAGCTCCGCCACGTCATGACCAACCTCGGCGAGAAGCTAACGGATGACGAGGTCGACGAGATGATCCGCGAGGCTGACGTCGACGGGGACGGCCAGATCAACTACGAGGAGTTCGTCAAGGTGATGATGGCCAAGTGATCCAGCCGATGTTCATGTCCGGTGGTATTATTATTTTTACCGGGGAGGAGGAAATTGTGCTATGCATATTAGTAGTAAGGAATGCGGCTCTCGTTTCCTTGTCTTTGCCCCCGAACCAGAAGAAGCGTACTAGTAGACGTAGTTGCTCAAGAGCATTCATGGAATCCTCCTCCCCTGCTGCTACCCTGTCTCTCTCCCGTGTGTCATTGAAACATCTTTCTTTCTGTGTGAATCTGCAAGACTTGGCCCCTTCGCGATGAACCCTGATTGCAGTTGAATCCGTTTGATCCAAGTTCCGTTCTACTTCTATTTTGTACTGTACGTACCAGCGGCTCCTTGAGTTGGCAAATGCTCTTCTATTGCTTGGCGATGGATGGGAGTAATATGTTCTTCAGGAAGCATGCGACCGGCAACGAAAACTGCTGGTTGAATGGCCTGGTCGCATGAGATGTGGACCTCCGGGAAAATATCAGGTGATACCATGCTTTAGATGCTTCCATAATACGAGCTTCTGATCCGTTGGATCTCAGATCCAACGGCTCCTAGAAGGTTCTGAAAGGTTGCTTGTTCGCAATTTTTAGACTTCACAAAAGATCTTTTTCACAAAATGTTGAAAGCCTTCCGGGAGCTGTTGGATCTCAGATTCAACGGCTCCTAGGAGCTCGTATCATGGGAGCATCTCCACCTGATACTCTCCCGTGGACCTCCGTTGAACCGTTTGGTGGAGTTTGGCAGGACTAACGGTTGACTGCGGAAGATGCCGCCGCCTAATGTTAGTCCAAGGCGTGTTATCTCGGACAGCTCTATGTGATCGGAAGATATGGCATCAGTGCATCGGAAGCATCGCAAGTGCGGATGCACCAGATACATTCCCGTGTCACAAGTGTGAGTGCATCGGATGCATTTCTCCACGTGACTTGATCTCCTCGGGCGTTGTCGTCTGCTACTACATAACCGTGTTGTGCTTGTGCATTGGTGCTGCCTTGGCGAGTTTTGCATCCAGCGGCGGCGCTGTTGTGAAGACACGGTTATGAATTTCTGAAATACTAATTGGCGAACGTTTTCTGGGAGAGGGTGACAAACGAACTTTTTTTGGCGGCATGTTTAGATGATATAGGAGATGACAATTTGTGTCAATTTCTACCCGCAACAAAATCTTCTTGCTAGAAGATGTCATGCGTTTTGAAGAAACTGCCAGAAAAAACGTTCGCAAATGCCACCCCTCTCAGCGAACGATGTCTACTCGCGTTTATGAATTTCTAGACGCGGATTACAATTTGCAACTATGTGAAACAAGTAAATTACACAAAACCATCACAATTCAAGTTAAATTGTCATATAACCATCACCTTTGACTAAACAACAACAACAACAACAAAGCCTTTAGTCCCAAACAAGTTGGGGTAGGCTAGAGGTGAAACCCATAAGATCTCGCAACCAACTCATGGCTCTGGCACATGGATAGCAAGCTTCCACGCACCCCTGTCCATAGCTAGCTCTTTGGTGATACTCCAATCCTTCAGGTCTCTCTTAACGGATAAAATCAACACGTTTGAGGGCAGGGTTGTAACACATAGCACCGATCGGATAGTTTCCCGCTCTAACAACAAATATGACCAGCGGGATCTGCATGTCGCACTGGCGTGGCATGCTTTACTAATTTAGCTGCGGGAAGGTAGGGCACTTGTCAGGCTGACAATGGGGATTACCTAGGCGGGTATTGGACTCCCATCCCCGTCCCCGCGACAGCCACCTCATGCTCGTCCCCGTCCCCATACCCGCCCGCAAGGATAAAAAGTTTCGCATCCCCATCCCCATCAGGATTTTCATCCCCATGGCGAAACCCAAATGAGCAATTAACAACAACCTTCGGTACCATTTAAGTAGAAAAAACAATATTTTAATATTTTAACACAGTAAATATTTTTTGTCGCTAGGTTAGCGATTACTTGAGGCTTTTCGGCCAAAAGGGTGGGATTGATGAAAATTCGCGTGGGTATGATCAGGAATTACCTGGAGTCTACCAATTTTAGGGCCCACATGTAAGCCATTCACGGGTGGGGTGGGCAATGGGTATGGGTAATGCTATCCTATCCTCATCCTCATCTTGTGTGCTGGGTAAGATATTTGATCACCAACAACCTGTGGGTACTAAAACAAGCACATCTCCGACCCTTAATAAAGTAATTAATTACCCATGGGGACGTGGGTAACAGTTAACCATTGCCAGCTTGAGGCACTTATCAAGCTCCCATCTTCCTTCCCCAAACCCGCCCTTCGTCCTCTCTCTCTTGAATCTTCCCCACCGACACTTCAATGCTTTCGACAACCATTGCATCGCTACTCTTTCTTCTACGACCCAATCGTTGCTTCCCCACTCAGGCACGACAAAGAAGTTGTCGCTGCCATGCCTACAACCAACTGAAGCGAACCTCCCATTTGGCGTTGGTCGGCTGGTCCGGCAGGGACAGCGGGAGCGGGTACTAGGTGTGGTGTGCGGATCGGTGGACCTCCTCGACGCCAATCGCAGCCACCTGCTAAGGACAGATGGAGCCATCACCTTGCCTCCCTCTCTCCACCCTTCTTGGAGCCCGTTCATTCGTTGGGTAATCCCTTGCTCTCACATTTGAGTGTTTGCTCGTCGTTTTGGTCGGTGAGTTACATTTTTGCTCATTGCAGTCGGACTGCCGGAGCAACGCTGAGTGACAAAAGGCTATCTGGTGTGATACATTCATACCCTCTTAGCCTGTCTGAGTTTGGATGGTTGAGTTGGTAAAAATATGCTCTAGATGTAATAATAAAATTGTTATCTTTCCATTTTCGTGTTCATAAATAATTTTATATTTCTAAGCTAGAATTGTAATGGTTCTTGAATGTGATATTCGGAAGAAAACATAGTAGCATGTGTAGAAAGATAAACGCCAGAAAGACCCCCTAGTAAAGCCTCTGGACTAGCTCATGTATTGTTGATGGTTTTGTTTACTTAACCATGTGCATTGTTAATATAAAGAGGATGCCAATAATAAGAATAACACGTTGTTAGGGTAATAATGATGTTGGGTAGACCCAACTTATGAGATAATGCGGTCACGTCATCAATTAGTTGTCAGTATTTTCTCATAATGGATATAGGATGGTACAAACTGGCCCAAGTCCACGCAGCATGTTGCCTCTCGGCAAGAGCCGGACAGTATGGTACAAACTGGCCCAAGTCCAATGAGATGAACTTTTCGCGTAGGCTTTGCCAGCCCGAATTAAGCCCACCCAGATATGGGCGCTGGCAGTCAAAGCCGTTTGGCACGTCCGGTCAACGGACATCCTATTTCGTGACCTACGCGCCTGGAAACGTGGAAACGCACAAGGTCTGGGAGTCTGGCATCGTTAGAGTATCTCCAGCCGTTGGCATATCAGGAGGCGTTAAAAATCGCCCCTGAGGCGCACCGGCGTAAAACGCATGCTGGGGGCGTAATGCCATCTAGTTGCGGTGCCCACGGAATTTTTTTGAACGGCACAAACACGGTGAGTTCATATATATTTCGGTGACTTCAAATCAAATTCAACCAAACACGACACAAACACGCCCGCTCATACATATTTAAAGTATTTTAAAAAAGAAAAAAACACACTACTAGGCCCGCCCGCCGTCTCGCTCGCCTCGCCGCTCCTCGCCAGCCACCGCCCTTGCAGTTCTACATGCCGAGGAGGCTGTAGAACCACGTGTAGTCGCCGCCGCCGTCGTCGTCATCATCGTCACTGCCTCCGACGTGGCCGCCGTCCCTGCTGCAACCCTCCCCCGGTTGGCGCGGCGGGTTGGACGGTCCGGCGGGGTCCTTGTCGTCGTCGCTCTCGAGGATCACGACGTCGTGCTCGTCCTCGCGCCCACGCTTGCGGGCGGCGATCTCCTCCAGGGCCCGGGTCTGCCGGGTCATCTCAGTCCGGAGGTAGTTGTGGCGTGTCCACCGCAGGGCGTCCGCGTCGGAGAAGCCGCGCCGGGCTATCCCCTCGTACTCCGGGGGGAGACTGGGCTCCGGTTTGGGCGCGACGAGAACGAGGCGTCCGGAAGCGGGGGTGGAGTCGGCGATGCGGATACCGGAGTTGCGGGTGCGCCGGCTGACAGACGTGTCCTGGGGCTCCGGCTTGACGGGCGTGTCCTGGGGCTCTGGCTTGACGGGACGGAGGCA